AATAAGTACCGATAAAATCGACAAAAAGGGAATTAGGCACATGTCCAGGATCAATGAATGCATGATCAGAGCACGCTAAATTAAGTGAGGTTAACATAGTGCTGGGCGCCGACAAAACCGTTACCCACCCTCCACCCCCTATCACATACACATACCCGAATAAACTCGAGGTATGTACTTCAAAAAACTTGTATGTACCTCAAAGATGCGTTCAAATCGTTCTGATTCCTCAGTCTAAATGTCATGTGCACGTTCTGATGAAGGACAGCGGGGGCGATCACATGCATGGATAACGAACCCTCGGGAACCGTCCCCGCATGTTTCACATCTTGCTGCCAGTGCACTTGAGGTTTCTATTTATAGAATAGAATAAAATCATAAACTTTAACAGCTCATATATTTCGAGGATTCGATACATACATCTATATTAAACCATGATCAACTCTAATTATTGAAATATACACTGAATTGGATTGAGCAATGATACTTTTGTAGACCCGTTTCAGTAAGACGACTCAAGGATTTTTTTGTGTACGCAAAGATAAATACGTACATGTGTACAATACATGTTGTGATATACAGTGCATCGTATACCCATAAGACAAAAACTTTATGAATTTTGATGTATACATATTATTGAAACCATGTGCTAGATATAGCACTCACATGCATACTATGCAACACGCAATCGTGTACATAATAGTCATAGCTCGATTGAGAAAATGGGGCAGTCTGGCATTCATTGGTGCAACATACATTGCTAAATTTGATGACAAAACATAAGTGCATACATTTATTTTTGCGTACTGTAACTCAGTGATTTGCACTCGGACAAAAAATCACCTTACCAGAAGTGAGGTGGCCGGTGGCTCAACGTCTATTTTCAGCACACCCTCCTCACTCGTATCCGCCCAAGGATTATATACTAGGTCCCTGTGTATTGACGTACAGTTGCAAGACAAATGCATATGTAAGCAAAACCAACCACGTCTTTGTAGTTGAAGTTGAAAATGAGGTGGAGACTGTGTCTGTGTAGACAATCTAAAAGGAATCACTGCAGAATCTAGAAGGCCACCCCTCTAGTGTTTATTGTGTAAAAACAAAATTAAAAACAGGGCTACTGCACCCTCCTTAGTACAACTATGGAATACTTTGTGGTGATATACGCACATATTTATTCGAGCATAGAAGTAGCCTAAATCACGTATGCTAACGAAGTGATACCTGAATTGAGGTAAATCGAGAGCTCTGTTCCTCAAGCGTTGCGTACTCTCAGGTGACATACACATCCAGTGTGGGGAAACATCAAGCTTCAACCCCTCACCACAACCAGCACAAGAGCTCACATTGCGATCACTGGAAACACCGTCATCTACTCCCGCGGTTATATTAGGTGAGCGCGAGTACCCCCCTGGCCGGCCCAAGTGGGTGTATTGTCGAAGATCTGCAATATATCAAACGCAACGTGAAAATTGCCGGATTGGAAATGAAGGAGAAGGAAAAACAATGAGTTTGTCGTCCAATTTTCAGAATCTATCTCGCCGGCCTACGTGGGTGCTACAGCAAACTTAGCCAAGCAAAGAAAAAAAGAAAATGCCGCCAGCTTATCAGTCTCCACTGAGGCGGAGCAGAGACGTTAATATACATACAAACATATACGTATACACACACACACACACACACACACACACACATATAT